GGAAATGACTATCTTAATATGGAACAACACTTATTGCAATATAATCATCTAAAACTTGTGGTTAACTACGTCATTTGTTGTCCACAGAGATTAACTGCAATTAACTTGTATCTTCACGTAGTTTTTATGTATCATCCTTGTGAAAGGACATCAGCTTTATTTTAATCAAATTTCCTTTTCAGGTTGTGGTGGTTGTTTTTGTTTTGTTTTTTAAGTCTGCAGCTGGGATAGGGAAATTCACAACCAGCCCTGTCGGGTAAATGGCCAAAGTGATGCTGCCTCTGTCATTCAGGGCTTGTCTCTATGGGCATATTGTTTTGGATTAGTTTGACCACTCTAAATACACTGAATTAACTATAGTGAACTAAAGCACATTCACACTTTGTTATAATGGCGTAAGGTACTTCCCTTATATCCCATTGTGTCCATGCAGCTCCATGTGCTGTTTTGAATTAAGCATACAACATTCTAGGCAGGTATCCCATAAGAACTGCCATATTGGGTCAGACCAAAGGTCTATCTATCCCAGCATCCTGTCTTCCGACAGTGGCCAATGCCAGGTGCCCCAAAGGGAATGAACAGAACAGGTAATCATCAAGTGATCCATCTCCTGTCGCCCATTACCAGCTTCTGGCAAACGGAGGCAAAGGACACCATCCCTGCCCATCCTGGCTAATAGGTCCATCAATGGTTATCTTCCACGAATTTAGCTAGTTCTTTTTTTAACTCTGTTATAGTCTTGGCCGTCACAACATCCTCTGGCAAGGAGTTCAACAGGTTGACTGTGCGTTGTGTGGAAAAAATACTTCCTTTTGTTTGTTTTAAACCTGCGGCCTATTAATTTCATTTGGTGTCCTCTAGTTCTTGTGTTATGAGAAGGAATAAATAACACTTATTTACTTTTTCTACACCAGTTATGATTTTCTGTGAGATATATATATAATTATGCATGCACCATGCCATGTTCTACTGCTCAGCTGTACGCATTATGGGATTCTTCTTGCAGTGAATTGTGGGTTGCCTACTGGAATCCACAGGAATTCTGGGACTTGGGACCCGGGACCCAACTCTCCTGGCAATGCATAATTAGGGTTGCTAGCTTTCTAATTGCAGAAAACCAAATACCCGGGCCCTACTCCTTCTCCAAGGCCCTGTCCCCGCTCACTCCATCTCCCCCCCCCCATCTCTGTCACTTGCTCTCCTGCATCCTTGCTCATTTTCATGGGGCTGGGGCAGTGGATTGGGGTGCAAGAGGGGGTGAGGGCTCTGGCTGGGGATGTGGGCTCTGGGGTGGGGCTGGGGATGAGGAGTTTTCAGTGCAGGAGGGGGTGTTGGGCTGGAAGGTGGAGTGGAGGTGTTTGGAGTGTGAAAGGAGGCTCCAGGCTGGGGCAGGAGGTTCAGGTGTGGGAGGGGCATAGGTGCTGATTCCATGGGTGCTCCAGGGAAAAATTAGTGAGTGCTCTGCACCCACCAGCAGCCAAGTTCCCCCTCACCCCCCCACCCCACCTCCTCCTCCCCTGAGCGAGCTGCATCCCTGTTCCTCTGCCTATCTCCCAGTGCTGCCCGCCGCCAAACTAGAGTTTGGCAGCGTTAGCACGCTCCGCTCCGGGAGTGAAGGGAAGAGCAGGAATGTGGCACGCCCGGGAGGAGGTGGGGATTTGGGAAAGGAGTTGGAATGGGGCAAGGAGGGGGTAGAGTTGGGGGGACTTTGGGGAAGGGGTTGGAATCAGTAGCATAGCTGGAGGGGTGCAGGGGAAGCAGCTGCTTCCCCTCAGCACATTTTTCAAAAGCTGCGCCTTAGTTAGGTGGGGTTACCATGGCCCCAGCGGCGGGGGCCCATGCTCCACTGCCATGCCCATCAGCTGTGTTTCCCAGCAGGAGGGAGACAGCTGATCGTGCGGTAGGGAGGGGGGGAGGGTAAGAACTGAGCTCCAGCAAGCTGGGCTCAGTGGGAGGAGCTGGAAGAGAGGGGCTTAGCATGCCCAGGCTGATCCGCTGTGTCTCCCATCAGGAGGGAGACAGACTGCTAATCAGCGAGGTAGGGAGGGGAAAAGAACTGAGCTCCAGCAAGCTGGGCTCCTGGGGAGGAGGAGAGGCTGGGCCCTTGGGGAAGAAGGGGGTCCATTGGGGCATACCCCCCTATAGGGAGCAGGGGCACCCACCCACCAGCCAACTGTTTATGGGGCCCTTGGGGGCCCACGAGCCATCAGCTGTTCGGCCGGGGCGGGGGCAGTACAGTAGCTAGGGGAGTGCTGTTTAGCTGGTTTTGGCCGCCAGCCAATCAGCGAGGGGAACTGCTCCTGGAGCAGGGGCTGAGCTAAGAGACCCCACTGGTGAGGTGCAGCCCCTCCTCCTTCTCCTACCTGCTCCTTGTGGCACTGTGGCAGGTGTGCTTTCTCTGGCTCTGCAGCAGCAGCACCTAACCTCTCACCCAACTAAAGGCAGCCAGTAGCAGCAGCTGGGGTAAGTGTATTTCAAAGGGGGTCTTTCATGTGGTGAGGGTGGCAGGGGGGATGGAACTGGGAACCTCCCAGGTGGCTGTGAGAGCCAGCACCTGGCTGCTGGTGGGATGGCAGTCTGCATGGTGGGGGGCAGGGGGCTCAGCCAGAGGCATCTCCAAAAACATCCCCTGCAGCACAGAGAGACTGAGGGTATGTCTACACTACGAAATTAGTTCGAATTTATAGAAGCCGGTTTTATTGAAACCGGTTGTATACAGCCGATTGTGTGTGTCCCCACATAAAATGCTCTAGGTGCTCTAGTCGGCGGACCGCGTCCACAGTACGAGGCTAGCGTCAACTTCCGGAGCATTGCACTATGGGTAGCTATCCCACAGCTATCCCACAGTTCCCGCAGTCTCCGCCGCCCTTGG